TGTCTAAACAGTTAGTATATATCATCTTCAAATAATAGAGAATGCAAAAAGACCATTGATTTTTTGTGTAGCACAAAGTTCTGTAAAGGTTCGTATCCACTTGTTGTATATTGCGTATGAATTTTGTCGAGCAATGATGATACGATACGCAGATATGCAACAAATGGATACGCACCTTAAGATGTTGTATCCACTCTGTACTTCGTCTATAACAGAACTTGTATACATGCCATAATATCCACTAATAAGAATTCGTCTTTCCATTTTGCTTTATAAATCAATAAATGAACTGAAACATCTTGGAAGTAAAGGGGATGTTGTTGAAGTATATTTATTTAACAGCCATTATATGTCTAATCATATTTATTTGCTCATGTACTGGTACTAATAGATGCTATACGCTTAAATACAGATGATGTATTGCAGAAACGAATATACCAAAAAACTTAGCAATGTACACGCTATTCAAGTCACTTTTAAATAGATTACTTTATCGTTTATCGATTACATCGTCCAACAAGAGGGAGGGTGTACCGTTAAATATATTAATTTCATGGTGTCAACACTCGACGATCGAAAATAGCTTCAGGCGGAGCGATCTCTCCTTACAAAGAATCGCGTTAAAGAAAATACAAAAATGGTGGGGCGGAAAAGGGTATAAGAGTGAATGGAAGGGATAGTGGGACGAAAGAAAGAAGGGAAAATAGATATTTCTATACAAAAATAATCGGCGAAAGGCGAGAAAATAAAACGCTCTCACGAACGCTCGATAATGAGCTATGATACAAGTCGACGAGATAATACTTTTTTTTTTTTTTAATGAGATTAGACTGAATCGTAATCTTCCTCACATACATGCTTTCACATTCGCACACTCAGAGATATTCTTCTTCACTTTCACACAAGATTCTCTTTCTCTCCAAGTCTTTTTTCGGACTCAGCATACGTACATCTCGCGCATCTCGCTACACAATGGCTACGATGATAATATAATTGTTGGCTGTGTGATGTAAAACATAATACATGCTAACGCTTGCGAACAAACGAGACTGTCATCAAATGGTGTGTGTCTAATTGTCATGCATGACACGTTGCTGTGCAGAACTAATTTTTAAAAGAGAAACAGGCAAAAAAAAAAAACAAAAGAAAAAAGATTAGAAGACAGAAAATGTTCGCACGGCTAAGAAATCTCGGTGAGCGACTACTATTCTCTTCTCGAAGAAAAAGACTGTTTTATACATCGCGCAACCGACTTGTTTCTCTCCTGCTCGTCGATCGATCGATTCTTCCACGTATTCGAGATCAATCAGCGTCGGTTCGTGCGACGCGCATCAACGGATACGGAAAATATCTTACACGTAAATCTCGATGCTCTCTTTTTACAATGAAAACCTCTTCATCTTTGGTAGAAACTACTAAATAAATTATATTGTCACTTACAGTAAGAATCGGTATTCGGATCGAACGTGTAAGAAGCTTCCACGGGAGTACGACCGTGAAAAATTCGGCTTCTCGAATATAACTTTATCATTTTCTTTCTCTATTTTTTTTTCTTCTTTGTTTTTCATCGTCCTCTTCGTCATTTGGTGCGCGCGGAAAATCTCGCCGATAATCGCTCGAGAAGAAGACGACGCGTCCTGTTGAAAGTCTTTAATAAAAACGCTATAATAACATGTGAATTTCGTCGCGCGTGAACGGAAAAACGTCGTGCGTATATTATGCTGCTCGAACGCAGCACACGAGGAGAAAAACTAGAAAAATATACACACATATACAAGGTTTTGAAATACGACTCGGTGTGCTTGAGGATTTTGTTACACGTCGGTGTGACAAATGCTGTTAAAATTACAATATACGAGGTTTACCTTACTATTCAATTTACTTGATGCATTCTTCAGTTAAAAATTAGCGAATAAGTTCTGACGAACGTGAGCTCTAAGATCAATTGTTTCGAGGAATCAGTTACCTTCAATTATAGGCGTATTACGATTAGCAATCGAAATCTATCATCGGTGTAAATTGTTTAAGAATAGTAGTAATGTATATAAAAGCTTATAGAAGTTATCAGAAATCAATCAAGGGTATCTGAATATTTGATACAGTTAATGTATATGGTACCAGTGGTAGCCATGTTGATTCTAAAGCGTTTAGAAGGGTTACTATGTGAATCTGGATGAACACATATATAACAAAGAAATCAATTTACTAGCAAATTTGTTCCCATCCTTCAAGCATTAATCTGCATATCAAAAATTGAAACATTAGAAATATTGATAAGTTCTTAAATAAAAGTATATATTCTTGAAGGAGGAATAACCGCAGAATACTTATTTTAACTTACTTAATATTTAACAGTAAGTTCATTTAAAGTTTCAGACATGACGACTGACGATCATACGTTATTAATAAGTCGTCTAAGTATTTATGAAAGCAACAAGAAAATCTTTGCTAGTGAACCATCATCAATCTCTTCTAATTCTTTCACCTTATTGGCACTTCAATAATACTCTAAAATTAAAAAAAAAGTCACTGTACCTCCAAGTCAAATAACTTCAGAGGCCGCGTTCTTCAGAGTATCTTTTTCACTGATCTTTAAACGCAGAATACATAAGTAAATATCGTAACAAAACTTCAGAAATACCCCACAAAGCACAACTCTCCGTACTGCATGCCAGCGTTTACAGTGCATGCAGCTGTGCGTCAACGTACGTATACACGATACTGAACGAACAACGGAAAACAAAATAAAACGTAGAAGGAAGTGGAACGAAAGAAGAGACAGACATTGTTCACCGTCTAGCGGGGGCTCGTCTTGATCGTTTGTCTCTCGTATTCTCGTCTTTGTCCACCGCCAAACAAGTCGATCGATCTTATTCTTAATCGCCGATAAACGATCCGCAATAATTCGCGATCTAACCAGAAGATCCACTGTCCCTTGAACGTCGTCGACTTTCCGGCTCGTTCTTGTCGAACGAAGGAAAGCCAGCCAGGAGACAAACACGAAGGATCAGATCTTAAAAGTAGCGATACGAACGGTCGATCGACCTGTTTAACACTGACTCGAACGAGAACTTCGAGCGTTTTTCGATCGCGAACGACGGGAAGCCTCGCGAGGCTCGCAGCCAACCCAGTAGAAATAATCCTAACGCTATGTGTGTCACATTAAACTTGACGTAAATTATCTACTTAAACCGTTTGCCTATTTACTAGGTAGCCTCTATTTTCGCACGCCTTTCACTCTCTCTCTCTCTCTTTCTCTCTTTGTTTTCGACGCTCACGTTGCGTTTTCTCCGTTTACCTAGGTTCGTCAAACCTAGCAAATGTATCTTCGTGAAACTTTGTCACGAGTTTACAACGATATTTCTTTCAATGGTGCCTGCCAGACAGAGAGAAGCAGACGAAGGATGAAATTGAACTGACAAGAGCTCGAGAGATAGATCCAGAGTTCTCTCGACAGCTATTTCTTTCCTTCGTCGTTTCTCTCTTCTAGGAAGCATTTCAAAGGCGTTCAGAACGCGAGCAACAACTACGTTGACCGGAGTCATCTCGAGATCAGGTTCGTCTGATTCATCGGAAGCATTTACTATACGCAAGAAATACACGCGTCTCCCGTTTTTCCGTTTTTCTCTCGCGAATTCTTCTCTCTCCACGATGGTTCACTGGTCGGTCTTGGCTGGTCCTAGAGAGCGGAAACCAGAGAGGATGATCTACTACTTCTTTAACAGGATGAGCTCTTCAGTTCACCGATGTCGGCAATGTTCTGCAGCAATGCGGCCACTTCACTGCTCGGCTGACTCTTCGCGTTGTATCGTTGCTTCAGGGTGCTCAATGCGGACAACAGTCTTGTGTTTGACGTCATCAGACGCGAATTCGCGGCGTCCAGGGCGGCTATTTGCTGCTCCTGCGCAACAATCACGCGCTGCTTGTACGACAGCGCAGCCGACATCTTCTGTTGGTCGCGCCGTAGCTCCTCCTCCACAGAGATTAACCTAAAATAATCAAATGATCGTCGTTTTAGCAGATTCTGGACACGTTGTGGCGTTAGACGAGTCTTCCTCATTGCGAACCAAGTCGCAAACTTGCCCATGAAACCATCTCTATTCTCCATTGTTGTAGTACGTTTCATTTTTTTCTTCAATACATCTTATCTTCTGATACGTTAATTTAGACATTTTTCAAAAATTGTATATCTTCTTAGTGATGGTAATATTTTAAATTATTCATTAGAGGAATAGAGATTGGCTGCAATGGTTCTGAGCACACATGGAACTGAGCTTCACCTGTAAATCCTCTCTCTATGCTTGTACAATTTGGAATTTTTTAATATTTTATTTTTCTGTTTAATCGATGATCGATTTATGAGAATTGACGTTTCTAAGAGAGATTTTACAGGGATGCTTGAAAGGATCCAAGCGTACCACGATGCATATATCGAAGAAAAGAACACCAATGTACTTCGGAAACGAAAGTTAAAGGAAGCAGCAGTGTCTGGTGCAAAATATCATACGTTCGGACAACCAAAAAGAACAATCAAGAATGCAATTAGGGTACAGGGGGCTTTCTTTCGATTAAAGAAGCGATGCGTCTGCTTCTGCGTTTGGCCACAGTTAAGGTTCATGTGTAAATACAGTGATCACGGAAGAAACGTTCAGGATAATATTCAAATTTAAAGAGCAGCCTTGATTAAACACACAAGAATTTACACAGAAAATGAATCGTTTGCAATTAGTGTTAACTTCAAAATTATCTATATTACCGACAGATTTTGGTTTTGTGAGTCACATAAGTACATATATGTATATAATTTCAGAAACTTTTTCATTGTAAAAATTTAATTGTAAAACTGTCGATTATGCTACTTTGTTTTCTGTGTTAAATCTGATGAATATTTCCTTACTATTAAATACTAATTTCATTACAGTTCTAAAAATTAAGATAACTTTTAGAAAAGCACGAAATTTCATGAAAATTACTAATTACTATTTACTTTCTATTGATTTCTTGTTCAAAAATTTCTAGGATATTCATAGGCTTATTGTTAAGAAAATTACTAGCACTTTCATCAAAATTCGTACACCTTTCCTATCACGAAAGCTCGAGAACTAAAATTTTACTACACGTTACCTCTGCAAATACAACACTTTAAAAACCTCTAACTCATACAAAAGAAATTCAACATTCGCCTTACAACACATAGCAAAAGAATAACTGTGGAAAATTTCTGTGGAAAAACACGGTCAAACTATGTTTTTCATTTCTTAAATAATTTACAACCTATGTGTTCTATCTATTATTTTATTCATACTTCATTTGTACCTTAAGACTTAAAAAAAGAAAGATTTCTAATAAACTTCATAATGTAAGAGAAAGAGAAAGAAAAAACCTATCCTGAACATTTCCCGTGCACGTTGCAACACGCTACGCAGACCTAACACAGAAAAAGTCAGTGGTTGCAGAGAGTGAACCGTGCACACGTGAACAGAACGAACGAACGTGTGAATTTCGAGGCGTGTGTGAGGCTGTATTTTTCGTGTCGGATATCGAGAAACTCGGTGAAGTATAAACATGTGGCTGACTGAAAGAATGTTTTTTTTTTTTTTTTTTTTTTTTGGACGGTGATGTAAGTATAAACACGCAGGGTGAGAATGCTGGTTTATCGAAACAGTGATTCAGAGTATAGTTATATATATATAAATCAGGTGAACGCAGGCTGCGAACTTCGTATCGAATAACGTTATATATATGTATATTCCAAACGCGTGTACCAGAAGAGACGGAGAAAAAAAAAGTTTGACGCGTGTTTTCTTTTCGTTTTCTTTGTTTGTTTACGGACAAAACCAAGATAGAACCACAAGATATATATATATATATATATATGAGATTAAAAAACGCTAAAAACATGTGATGTAAAAATGTAAGAAGCTTAGAAATATAATTGACTCTTACACCAAGGTCCAGATCAAGCCAGAGTATACCAAATGCAGCGGATAGAATGCACAGGAACACACAATCAATTAAATATACATTATTTCGAGAAAAAACAGTAAACCGTGTTCGAGTTACGCGGTTCTGTGGAACTTTCCTTTCTTTCTTTCTTTCTCCTTATTTTTTAGCATTTATACAAGAGGTAGGATTTAGCTTTTCGATTCGACTTTTTTTTTTCTACATATTTGCAACTTATTTATAAGCGACGATTGCTTTGGAGCGGCTTGGAATGTTGGCAGACAGAGCTGAGTAATCATTTCGATAAAATAATTCGACCTTTCCTTCGACGAAGAAACGAGAAATGTTTCGGAGGTTATGTTACATTTTTCTAGTAATTTTCGTGTTCACAAAGTGATCGTTCGAGACAGAATGCAACCAGACTATTATACAGGGTGTCTGATTTTAATCTGTTACTGTAAAAATTTTGGAAAAGCACGTTGAATGAAAGAAAATGTTTTTAGAGGATTACAGAAGGGTTATTAGTAATTATTTTAGTGGTACTACTTCAATTTCATTTGAATACATCTCAAACATTTCACTACTCCATGCATAATAAGATTTCAAAGATATCAATCCTTCTCTACATAATTTCACAATAAAAAAAAGTAATCCTTGTTAACCAGAATATTCTTTCTCCAATATCTGATTAAAATCTGACTGAACTTCTGATTAAAACTCCACGAAAAATGCTTTAATCCAAACCGTTCCCGAATGATTGTAACCAGCTCTGTTTGTCATATCGCGACTCGTGATTATCCCGTCTCTGCGAACGGTAAACGGTTCCTTTAACGAAGAAACCATCGTGAAATTGATCGACAGTTTCTCCAAAGACCCCTTCTTTTGTCTTCGCGCATGTAACGTCGAATGACGAAAGGAAAGAGAAGAAAAAAAAAACTCACGCGATGAAGTAAGTAAGAAGTGAGGAGAGGATGGAAGAGAAAGAAAAAAACCGACGTGAGACTGATCATGAGACGACGTAGGGACCTCGAGTGAAACGCAAGAGAAAAGTGGTAGTCGTCACGGTGGTGGGGTGATCACACTCAGGCAAAGAATCAATCGGTGGGTTAGTGGCCGCGTTAATGAGGATTAAGTACCTGGAAATGATGCTCTTCATCTTGGTATCCGGTGCAATGCCATCTATATCGGTATCCTCGGTTGCGTCTAACCGGGCCCTCAGTCGATCTACGCTACTCTGCAACCTCTCGATTTCCACTTCGTACTGGAAACGAAGAGACGTGGCGTTGTTAGTTACAAGACACAGAAGAGACGGGTTGAGAGGCGTTCCGTTAGGCAACAGGTCAGAGAAACAGGCAGAGAGAGAGAGAGAGAGAGATAAAAGAGACGACTTGTCAGGTGGAAAAAAAGAGGAACTTGTTATGCACAACGGTCAAGTTATCACGAATATATAATATGTACACATGGACGAGTTGTAGATTAAAAGAGAATTTGAAGTTCCTCTTGTGAGGTAAATTGAATAGAAGGTTGTATATAGTTGCTCCTCTGTCTTGATTGTTGCTGGAAAGTTCGAGAGATTGTTGTACATTTGGCTTCATGGACGACGAATAAATTGAATCGAATATTTTTTCGTTTATTTGATCGAGTTTAATCGAAATATACTTAACAGGAAGATTACATTACGACGCCATTACAGTTGTACACGTTGTAACTTGTAGAATTTCTTTACTATGCACATTTTATCGTTAGTTGTACCATGTTTAAAAAGATGTTCAGACTCTCCAAGTAATTTCAAGTTGAATCTCTTGTTCAATTCTAATCTTTAACTCAGCAAAACACACAATATCTTTCCATTTCTTGCATCTCAATATCTCAGAGAAGAACTGAATCCAGAAATATCTAGCGTTACAGGTAGAATCACTCATGAACTAGTTAAACAATTACTATCGTCGAATTTCTTAATAAATCGTTGATACGTTGATAACTTTATTCGTCATCAAAGAAACCAAGTTGCCAATATAGTCATAAGTACACCATATCCGTTACCTGGTCGATGCTTCGATGACTGCGAGATTTGCTCCTCCTCGTCGTGCAGCTCTCCTCTTCGCTGGTGTCGGACAAATCTCGCGTCGAGTCCAGCGACAGCCTTCTCCTCAGCTTCGTACAGCAAACACTCTGATTCTGTTCCGAGTTATTCCTGTGCGTTTGATTAGTCTGCCTCCACTGGTTCTGATTGTTTCTCTGCATATTTCGCACGTTGTTCTGCGGCGGAGGCGAGGGGCTAAGATCAACGCCTCTCACACCCTCTACACCTCCACCGCCGCTTCCCTCTCTTTCCTCCGAGCTACTGCTGCCTCTCCTTCCGTTCCTCCCGTGATTCGACTCCATGTGATAGACAGGATTGGCGAATGCCAGCGGGGCAGCGCTGAGTATATGTGCGTTCGCGTTGTTGCTACTGAGATCCACCGGGCTGGAACTCTGACTATACGCGGCGAAACTCTGATAACCGGACGAAGCGACGTTACTCAACTGAGAGATCGATATCTGCGATCCTTTCTGCGATTTCGACTCGGAAACCTCGTCGTCGGCGTATCTCAACAGATCAGACAGCTCGTCCAGGTTACCGTTCGCAGTCGTGTTGTTCGTTTTGCTAGTGTTGTAATTATTGTTCGGCTGATGATTGATCGAGAGTGTCAGGTTCGACGATGGATTCACCACGACGTTCGCGTTCACCGTGGTCTTCGAGACGTTGTTGTAATTCTGATGCTGCATCTGATTCGCGTTCTCCTCTTTGTTACAATGATTCCTACTCGCCGATCTCGAGACGTTGTAATTGTTGTGATTGTAATTGTCCTCTCTGTCATGGATGTCCAGGTTCTGTAGCCGCGCTATATTGTGTCTGTGATTCTGTTGCTGTTGCTGCTGCTGCTGCGACATGATGGTACAATTGTTCGCCTGATTGTTCTGCGACGTGGTGATGTTGTAGTTGGAATCCTTCAGATTGCTGTGACTCTCTGATCTAGTTGGGCTTGTCGGATGCGTCTGACAGTGATTCACGTTTGCCAGACTCGCACTGGCGGTCAGTCTGTATCCCGCGCCCGTTCTGTTCGACCCTATTGCCCTGTGTTGTCGCACGATAGGCGTAGGTGAACGCGAGACGAACGCCGGTGGTTCCAACGGATAATCGTCCGTGGTAATTTGCAACTGTAGCTTTCCATTCGTTGGCAGGTAAGCGTTTCGAGGAAGCGTGGCAGCTCTGGTGACGTTTGGACTGCGAGAACTGTTGTGACCGAGTGTGTTCGACTGCAACACCTCGTTGCTGTCTCTGATCGTGCCGTTCAACGTGCTGTGATTGCTCAGCGTCGACGTAGCCGAGACGGAGAGATTCGTATTGCTGCTCGCGATCGTCGGATCGTTGTAGCGGAAGATGTTGTTTTGCAAATTTGGATAACGATGAGAGGCTGGCACTGGGCTTGGACCCGATTGATCTAAAGCTATGGAGATCCTCTCGAGGATCTCTGGTAGTCTCGACGGAGGCAGTGACGGGGAAGACGATGATATCGTGACTAAACTTTCACGCAGAAGCGCGTGTAACAGGGATAATTGCTTTCCGAGGTCTATGTAGCCGTCGAATTCTAAGGAATTGTTCGCCGGTGCGTCCTTCGGCAACGGGCTCTGCGAAAAGGCAATTGTAAAAACGTGATTAATCTTCAAATACGGAAGCTTCGATCTTATCCGGCGAAGAAAAAAAAAAAACATCGTTACGTACGCTGATCAGTTGGAGGAAGTTCTTCATGGATGGAGCTTCGCGTTCCAGGAGATCGTTCATGAATTCCATGAAGTTCTCCTTTCCTTGGAATCTCGTGAAATTCGCCAGTGTTTGAAGTGTCTTCGCCACAAGAGTGAGATTCCTTGCAGCCTTTTCGTTTGGGTATTCTGCAAAACGAAAGAAACATGATTCCCTCGTTTCACGATCGCTGAATGTTCTTTCTATCGACTGAAAATTTCACCGAATAATGCTGTAATTTACAGCTTCATTTTTGTATCTAGCCAATCTTCTTTGGGTCACAGATGACCCAAGGATCGTCGATCGATCGGTTATGGCTTACCGTGCGTGATGTTGAAGAGAGACGGGCTGAGAATGGCTGGGCAGAGGAATCTGAGGAATATAGACGCGGAGATGAGATTGTCGGCGATGTCTTCGCGGCCCATGTCGGCCAGACGTTCGCGGAATATACGGAAGCACTCGCGTAATTCGAGAGGAAAGTGAGCGTGGCTAGCCAGTATCCTGCTCCAGGCGAGCTCCACCGCGTTCCTTAGATTCTGTTGTTGCTTGTGCAGAGCCGCGACCGATGCAACCTTCAACGGATCCACCTCGCAATCGCCGCCCTCCACCGCACCCCTTACAACGGCACCCAAGGTCTCTTGTAGGTACCTGTCACCCGTCAACTTCAGGTAGGCCTCCATCGCCTTCGTGGCCAAGGAATTTCCTCGAAAGGTGAGCCTCTCGTCGTCTGAAATTCGATATATCCCGTTTTGATAGACGTGTTTCAGTTTCACTGTAATTAGACTGCGAATTTTTAAGCATCTAGAGGAAATTTAAGATTCAGATGCTCCACAACTGTTTCTTTTTTTTTTAACAAATTTTCAAATTTGTTTTATGGAATTAACGTGGAAGAGTGCAGAGGAGAAAATTAGGGCTTAAATTAGTACATGGAAGTGCGTCGAAATGTTCCAATAACACAGTGGGGACGAATTTTCAAAGCGTTGACAGCAGTGAAAGGGTCGAAGGTGCAAAATTGCACAGAATGTGTGTAATATGAAAAAAAAAATATAAATTCGCAGTCTAATTGTAATTTTACAATTTCCCTGGAGAAGCAAAAATTCCTAAGTATTACAAAGAATGCGACAATATAGGGACTAACAAAATACGAACGTCACAATTTTATTAAAAATTCAATGTAAAATAAAATGTCATATAAAATATGATCTAATTTAAAAAAAAAATTGATTTTGTTGCTGTTTAAAGAGCAGGACTCACCTATTCTGTGTATATCCATCATGACCAGGTCTGCTAGAAATTGAGGCGCTTTCTTTTCACGTTGCATGACGGCTACCAGAGCAGTGGCGATGTCCTCCTTCGCTTTCACGCCAATCACCGGCTCCAATTTCTCGCACAAGGACGCATAATCTGTCTTCAGATACTCCAGGAACTCCTGGTATACCTGAACGGGTAGTATGTCTACAGATTGGAAGCGACATTTCACCCTTAGCGCCGGAGGTTCCTTCAGAGGACCTTTGTCCCCCACTACGGTGTACCATTTCTCTGTTAGGTAACGAGACGTGACGTTGTGCACCGGTATGCTGACGGAACCTGGAGAAAATTGGAAATGTAACGCGAATGATTAGACGGTGTCTGAAAATTCAATTTATCCGGTCATCCTGAAAGTATACGTGACGTTAAGCTGTGTTCGTTCAGTTTGAGAAAGGAACATATTTCCACTGAAACTGAAGGGTCTTTGTCTTGCAGATTTGAATTAATTCTCTTGTGATACGTTGAATAATAATATATTGTATTACTGACGTCTGTAAAAATGTTTAGAAATTGTATGTTTTAGTAAAAATATAAAACATGTTTATATAAATATATCTTTTTTTTTTTAAATATAAAAAACCTTCACAGACAAGTATATATGATAAGTGAAATAGTTCAATTAGATTTATTCTCATGACACGAAAATAAATTCTGTCAAACCACCTGGAATTCGATCTAAAAAACCCTACGAACTTTCGTTCCAACCCAATACAAACCTATAAATATAAAAGTATTTAATAGAAGACATTTCACTATAAACAGTATCTTCATAATGTTATATAAAAAATTGAGTAGGTATTAGTTTCCTTTCGTTGCGAAAGTAGCGTGCAATCTACTGTCAATTGAACACATACTGAAACGCTAGAGCTTCCAAAATTAGATATTTGACCAAAAACAGTATCTTTGTAATGTTATTTAAAAAATTAGGTATTATTGTTTGTTTCTTTTTTTTTTTTTAAGGAAAATAGAAATATAAAAAACCTTCACAGACAAGTATATATGATAAGTGAAATAGTTCAATTAGATTTATTCTCATGACACGAAAATAAATTCTGTCAAACCACCTGGAATTCGATCTAAAAAACCCTACGAACTTTCGTTCCAACCCAATACAAACCTATAAATATAAAAGTATTTAATAGAAGACATTTCACTATAAACAGTATCTTCATAATGTTATATAAAAAATTGAGTAGGTATTAGTTTCCTTTCGTTGCGAAAGTAGCGTGCAATCTACTGTCAATTGAACACATACTGAAACGCTAGAGCTTCCAAAATTAGATATTTGACCAAAAACAGTATCTTTGTAATGTTATTTAAAAAATTAGGTATTATTGTTTGTTTCTTTTTTTTTTTTTAAGGAAAATAGCGTGTGATCTACTGTCAATTGAACATAGTATGATACTCAAACGCTTAGGAACTTCCAAAATTTTTCTGAAAGAAAACTCACCGATTAGAACATTTTTGTCCCTCTTCTTTTTCCTGTCAGCCTCCCTATACAGGTTCACCTGTATGGTGTTGACGGAGGGCAAATGATGGAAGTCAAAGTGCTCGCCCCAGAAGCAGAGGTCGGCCTTCAATTTCGCGGTGGTTCTCGCGTACAAAGTGCTGTCCAGACAGACCTCGCAGAAGTATCGTTTCTTCGCCGGCACACCTTTCGCCTCGAGCAGCCAAATTTGCAGGGAATTGTCCGTTCGCCGCGTCTGCTCCGCGTCAGGTTGAACGGATTTCCTTAAGCTGCGATTCAAACACGTTCAACGTAAACACCCCCTTTCTCGTTAAAATTGAAAACTGGGAAGCGAGGCGAGCCAAGTTTCTGTGTTTACACTTGTGATTCGTACCATGGAATAAAATGGGATAATATTGGAATGGTCGCGAAACGATAAGTGTCTACGATTGAGTTTTTAAGAATTTTATAATTTCGAGTGATATTTCTAAGGAACTTTTAAATTTTATAGAAAAAACGTAAACGTCTTCTCATCCCTCAAATTTTTCTATTCTTTTTTCGGGATCACGAGATCAACTAATATTTTAAGTATACGACATTCTATCAAAGATGACTAACAATATTTCACGTACTATCAGACAAATGAAAAGTGCCAATTAGCATTTTTAATATTTCAGGTTTCTGTCTGTGACTGTCGTATGGTAAATCTATGTGAGAAACGCAGATCAATTGGCCTACACTAATAAGAACTGCAGCAGAATGCAGGTGAAAACGAAAGCGATTATAAAAATTTGACTGGTCATTCGACTCCTTATCTTTTCACATTCCTATCAATTCCCTTATTGGAACACTCGAAAAATCAAAATTCCAAGGACGACAGAGAACACTCATACACGACCCTAATTCCTTATCTTTTCATATTCCTATCAATTTCCTCATTAGAACACTGGAAGCTTTAAAATTTCAAGGACCGCAGAGAATACACTTGTACGACCCTAACTCACGATTCCAGTCTTCGCCTTTATAATATTTCTATCAATTTCCTTACAACACTCGAAGCATAAAAATTCGAAGGACGACAGAGAGCACACCTCCACACCCAAAACTCGCGCTTCTACTCCTCATCTTTCCAATATTCCTCTCAATTTCCTTATCAGAACACTGGAAACATTGTCAAGCACTTCAACGACCTCACGGTATTCCTTCCATCGACCTTTTTACGTATTCGTCAGCGTAGCCATACCTGCTGCTCGTTGCGCAGGTGGGGCGTCGAAAGAAGACCGGAAAAAGGAGCAAAGTAGAAAGAAGGGGGGAGGGGGGAAGGAAGGGATAGGAGGAACGGTACCAACCTGTGTAACCACTGGTCCCGTTCGTGAGCGGTCCTGCAACTGAAATACTTGGGTACACCGGTGCTGGGTGTGACCTGGAAGCAGTGAGGTCTGCCAAGCAGGCTCGGATGCAGCGGTGTCACGGCCGCGAGGTCCATCGAGGTCACCGCCTGTCCGCAGAGCAGGGACTCGTGTGAACGGCAACCCCGAAGTCCGGCGCCGCGTTGCTTCTGTCGCTCGAGCTTCGTCACGCTCTTCGTCCTCTTCAGCGGGTTAGAGCGGAACGACCTCTTCGAGAAGAAGTTCTGTGAACAGAGAAAACAGAGAGAGAGAGGGGTGAATGTTGTTCCCTCTCGTGTGGGGAGATTGCACGTGGCTTGCGAGATCTTGAAAATTGAAGAAGAGATGGGAGGACTGATTTTTTTTTCTTTTTTTTGCACTTTACCGTTTTTAATAAATACGAATTTCTTGTTGAACTGTAGAAATATGCTCGTTCTCGTGGTCGACAGCCCCCCTAATTTGTTAGGAATAAGCAAATAAACAATACCAGGTTTAATACGAGCAGGAATAATTATACTATTAGCGAAGTTTTAATTATCTGGGTCATTTAAATAACGCAGCAAACTGAAATTAGAAAAATTATGAAAATTAAGAAAAATGTTAATGTAGGTATCTTTAATTGTAAAATAAGGATGTTAAATGGAACCAGTTAAATGTAAAGAAAAAATATTAACGGTAAGATCAAATTACTGTCTTTCGTATTTTCCATTTTCTTGGAATATCTAATTATCGTCTTACGTGAGGGTCGCCAGTGTGAAAAATGGAAAAAGAAATTTTTTCAAATTTCTTCTTTC